TGTTTATAGGAGGCAGTGGATCCATGAGGAGAATTTGACCACGTGTGGAAGTCAGAGACTCATTCAACCCCATGAGAAACGCCATGACATGTTCCAAATTGTAATGTTCATTTAGCTTCTGAACACCACCACAAGTGCAGGCTCCACAAGTACAAGACGGACGGAAATTGGATAATTCATCCCAAATAGCCTTCAATTTTGTAAAATACACATTAACGGACTGCGTATCTTGAGTAAGATTAGACAATTCCCGACGCAATTGGAAGATACGCGGACCATTAGTTTGTGAAAATCTGGTATTGAGATCCTTCCACATCTCGTGAGCAGAATCAGAGTACATGATGCTGGCCTGAATATCTTTCGACACAGCATTTAAAATCCAAGAAATAACAATACTGTTATTCCGAACCCAGGCGTTGTGAAGAACTGCTTCATCCCGACTTGGTTCAACGATTGTACCATTGATGAACCCTAACTTGTTCTTCACCGTAAGTGAAATCTGCATCGCTCTACTCCAAGAGGCAAAGTTATCTTCAGAGAGTAGCTGCGAAACGAGAACTAACCCAGGACCATCAGACGGATGCAAATAGAACGGACTAGACACATCATCAACTCGCCGATTTGCCGCCATGGATATGAGAAATCAAAAAAAATTGAATAAACTCGCCGATTTGCCGACGGAATGAAGGAACAATTGAAGAAATTGATCGCGATCTGATCAATTGATGAATTATGCGGAAGCGAAAAATCAAAAACCTAAACTGATACCATGTTAATCTTCTGATTATCAGAATGGAGGAAGAAGAAGATGATAGAGAGAAGAGGGAAAAACTTATTCATTCAACAGAAAAATGAAAGTTACCGTTACAAGAGATGTGAGTTGGATATTTATATCCAACTATACAAAAGCGTGTTTTTAACTAAAAGAAGAAGTGCTATTTGGAAAATAACAACTTCTATATGACATGAAAGTAAAACTAAACCTACATTTATCAATGTGAAATATATATATATTAACATATACATATATATTAACATATATATATATTATTGTGAAGTATAAATAAATGTATGTGAATTTGTTCTGTTTTGGTAGTGGATACATTTTTGAGAGGCTGGGGAATATATGCTGCTTCTTTTTCTCTCCACAGCATAAGAATTTCTGTTCAATAATCTAAACTTTTGAGGACCTATTCTTTCTTAAAGACACTTTATCAAACACTTGGTGTGCAACCAATTTCACTTCTTAATTAGTATCTTATTTTTTAATTGAACAAGTCTACGCTTGGGATTAATCCAATATTAAGGGAATGATTAAGCCGTGTTTCTATGGTTTTGTAGAACATACACCTGGTGAATTACACCGTGTTGTTTTTATTGATCTACGCATAATAACACACACCCATATGTATGTGTGTTTAGTGAGTAATTAGTTATTTATTTTATGGTTTAAAAACCACATGATAGTAATTTAGAAGATGTATGGATCTCATAAGCCGTTCTTTTTATACCTTAAAGTTGAATAAACTAACACGAAACTTTAATACCTTAAAGTTTCTATTTTTTTGTTGATCCTGAAAAGTGTCTATTTTCATTAAGTGCGTTTTAAAAAATTATTCAAGAAGAATAATATCAGTTTATTGTTTTATCGATTTAAACTTAATTTACTTAATAATCAAATTACTTTCACAATCCAATGAAAATTTTGAAATTATAAATAACTATATGACGTGAAATCACTCGAGGCGAGTCGGAAAATTCGAATTAGATTAGATTAATCGCACGTAGAGAATCGAAAACAAGCTATGGTTGTTGACTCCCTCAGATGAAAGCCGTGGTGAATCCAGAATTTCAATTAAAGCCGTGGTGAATCCAGAATTTCAATTAAGTGTGTTCGAAATTTTCTATATAAAAAAAAAAGAAGGTGCATTAACAAATAATTTTTTCTTACTAAAGAATAAAAAGTTAACCTTTTTTTCTGAATTATTAAGAGACATATCTAAATACTGAATGTTGAAAGAATAAGTTCGTTTGGTAATTCAAAAGTCTATTATAAGTGAATGATGTACTCTTACAATATTAACCTTAGAAATTGTTGCAACAAATTAAAAAATTCAATTACTAATTGAATTATAAATTATTATATTTAAATTTCAACGATTGTAACTATTAGATTATTTTTTTATGAAAATAAATATACATAAAATGAATACAATCTAAATAAACTTTTAACATCCATAAATAAATATTAAATTGTTTAAAAAAATCCTAAATTTACCCCTAAATTTCTAACAAATAAAAAAGAACGTATTGAATTTCTATTCCAAAAATATGACGTTATTTTTTCTTGAATATAAAAATATGACGTCATTTTTCCCCCCAAAAATCATTCTTGTATCCATGAAGTAAAATATACGAAAAAAATTCCCCACTTATCCCTTTTTGTTTTAAATAGAACATCAAAATTCATAAATATTGACAAATTTGATGATTTTCCCCAAAATCATTCTTGCCTTGAATGGAGCCGTTGGTAGTGGAGTTTGACTGTCAGAATGATAATTGGATTTTGAGTTTTCATATTTGATGAAAAAGAAAATGGTGATTTGTAATATGGGCATATTTGTCTATAATCCATTCACTTTGCTCTCTGAATGAATAAGCGTCATGTTTCCAACTGAATCGGTAAGTGATTTATGGGTTTGTTCAGATGCTTACTCCAAACACGCTGAATAAGGTAACATCTGACCGAATAAGCATTTGGTTTCATTAAGAGGTCATTAAGCACTAAACAAACACAACCTTAGAACATCTTTCCAAATGGTTCAATTTCTATATAAACATATACATTCCATCGAATTCTTGGTTATTGTGAATTTTTAATAAAATTCCAAATTAATTTAAATATAAAAAGAAAATACATTAACAGTCTGATTAACTCGAGTTTAATAAATAAAATTCAGGTGAAAATAAAAAAAATAATTAAAAAAATTACCCAATTGCAAGCAACAACTTACTGAGTAGTAGCAAACAAAAAATATAGAGTGGACTTTCAGCTTTCTATCAAAATAGAGTGAGAGAGAGAGGGGTACATTCGTCTTTTTGGGTAAGGACAGTCCGAACCTTTAGCCCGGCCCCATTTACCCGAACCCGTACTCGGAAAAGCACAAAAAGTGTTTACATTCATTTGCCCCACAACCCGAAACTAGGGGTGTAAACGAGCCGAGCCGACTCGTGAGCTCGAAGAGCCGGCTCGTAAAAAGCTCGAACTCGAACTCGATATTTTCGAGCTCGAGCTCGAGCTCGCGAGCTCAAGCCTTCTGATGAGCCGAGCTCGAGCCGGTTTTCAGTTGTTCATGAGCTCGCGAGCCGGCTCGCGAGCCGGATTTATTATTATTTTTTTTATTTTTTATATGTTATTTTTATTTAAATAATGTATAATAATGTAAAATATTATAGAAATAAATACAAATATTAAAAATATATATAATTACAATTTAGTTTTTATTTTTTATTTTTTTAAATAATTTTTAATAATAAAATAATAATTAAAAAAATATTAAAAAAAAAAAAAAAAAAAAGACAATGGGCTCGAGCTCGAGCTCGAGCCAAAAAAAGAGGAGCTCGCGAGCTCGAGCTCGAGCTCGACAAAATAAACTCGAGCTCGAGCGAGCCAAAAGAGGCGAGCTCGGCTCGTTTACACCCCTACCCGAAACGAAACTGCGAGACCAAAAAAGGTTGAAACGACGGCGTTTGGGTTTGCTTATCCGGCCGTACAAAGCAGGGGTTCTGACACGAGGGGAGAAGAAGAAGAAGAATAAGGTCAAGCAATGTGATAATGAGGCTGTCTTTCAGTCTACGTCCAGTCACTCACGCCGTCAATTGACAGACTCTACTTTGCTTTAGGTTTTAAATTGTGGTTTTTATAGGGCGGTATTGTTTTGGCATCATGTGATTTTTTAAAATTAGAAAATTAATATTTTAAATAAGAAAATTTTATATTAATGAAAATTAATATTTTAATTAAGACAATTTTGATTGTGTATGTATATAAAATAAAAATAGAGGTTTTAAATGGTTGAATTGTTGCGAATTTCATGTTCGGCATTTGTTGATCTTCCATATATTTTCGTATTTTAAGTAATGCCTAATTTTTCAGTTGGAACTGATAACTTTTAAACCATCACTCAATAATAATCTAATAATTATTCGAATTTCGAGGTTATATGGTTGATATAACGATTTATAAATTACTATTCATTTTTTCTTATGAAATAAATAACTATTCATTGCATATAACAAACATTCGATTCCCTAATAAATTATGATGAATGTTTGCGTTCAGTGTGCACGTTTGCTATTCAATTTCATATATCAGTGATCGAAATCAACTACCAACTACCAACTGACTCATTGAAGTAAAATCGATAATTTCAATTGGTGTATATACACACTATGACCATATGATCGCTTGGTGATTAATCGATGATACTACCCCAGTCAACTTTTTCCTATAGATATATTTTTGAAATGTTAATTAATTACTTTGCAAGTAGTTTATGTAACTATTAGTTCATATATCTAAAAAGAAACACATTACCCTCTATAATTAATAAAAATAAAAATAATAATAAAATATTTTAATGTTTAACATGAAGATGAAGTTTGTACTAATTTTTCAAAACAAATCCAATATAATATTATTATTATTTTTATTGCATAAATATTATTCAATATCAATTTCACTTCCTTCCGTGATAACGGCGTGAGAATTTTTAACGGTCCCAACATCCCAAGATCATTCATCATCATCACCATCACAGAAGATTAGAACCGCAGAGGACTCGCAGTAGAAGAATCAGACAAAAAAGATTCACGCACCAAAATTAAATAAATAAATAAATCGACTTTTTTTTTTTTTTATAAATTATTTAATCTTAAAATTATATTCCGCTACTGATTCATATTTCATCGTCTTATAAAAAAACCCATCTCTCGTTCGTACAACACAGTATTCATCACCTTCCATTGATGCAAAGAGAGAATCTACAATGGCGATATCTTCTCTCCTGTTTCTCATCTTCATCTTTTACCCGACTCTACTTCTCCATGCGTACTCCGATCTCGAAACCCTTTTAGATATTAAATCATCCCTCGTCGGGCCTTCGGGCTCGGGCCTCCACGACTGGGTCGGGCCATCGCCATCGCCGCCGTCGGCGTCTTCTTCATCAGCCCATTGTTCGTTTTCCGGCGTCACCTGCGACGAAGACGGACGGGTGACGTCACTGAACGTCACCGGCGCCCCGCTCTCCGGGGTCCTTCCGCCGGAAATTGGGCTTTTGAGTAAGCTCGTAAACCTCACACTTGCCGCCGGTAATTTGACCGGGCCTCTGCCTGTTGAAATGTCTGAGTTAACGTCGTTAAAGCACGTTAACCTCAGCTGGAATTTGCTTAACGGCGTTATCCCCGGTGAAACGGTGCTGAGACTCGCTGAGCTGGAAGTTTTCGACGTGTACAACAACAACTTCACCGGGAGCTTGCCTGCCGAGTTTGTGAAGCTGAAGAAACTCAAGTTCCTTAAACTCGCCGGCAACTATTTTTCCGGCGAATTCCGGCGATTTACTCCGAGTTCGAGAGCTTGACTCACTTGGCTCTACAGGGCAACAGTTTGACCGGAAAAATCCCTTCCGGCCTGGCCAGAATTCCGAACCTTCTGGAACTGTACCTCGGGTATTACAACACGTACTCCGGCGGTATTCCGCCGGAATTCGGCTCCATATCATCTCTTCAGCTACTCGATCTCGGTATGTGTAATCTCACCGGCGAAATTCCGGCGACCCTCGGAAACCTCAAACATCTCCACACACTGTTTCTTCAGGTTATATGTTTGATTAAACTAAGGTTTAATTTAATGACGTGATTAGAGATAATTACTGTTTATATATAGTTGGATTAAGAGGGGTAAAACCGTAATACTCAATGTTTTCTTTGTGGGGGTAATTAGGTAAATAACCTGACGGGGCTAATTCCGGCGGAGCTCTCTGGATCGACGAGCTTGATGTCGTTGGATCTCTCGATTAACAACCTCAGCGGAGAGATTCCGGCGAGTTTTTCCGAGTTGAAGAATTTAACGTTGATTAATTTGTTCCAGAACAAATTCCAGGGCCCACTCCCCGGTTTCATCGGCGATCTCCCCAATTTAGAAGTTCTACAGATTTGGAACAACAATTTCACGCTCAGCCTGCCGGAGAATCTCGGCCGGAACGGAAGGCTGTTGCTCCTCGACGTCACTAAAAACCACCTGACCGGGAATATTCCGGCGGATTTATGCAGAGGGGGGAGATTGAAAACCCTAATTCTGATGGATAATTACTTTTACGGCCCTCTCCCCGAAGAGCTCGGCGAGTGCAAATCGCTGACGAGGATTCGGATCAAGAAGAACTTCCTGAACGGGACAATTCCGGCGGGGTTTTTCGCCTTGCCGGAGCTGGACATGCTCGAGCTCGACGATAATTTCTTCACCGGAGATCTGCCGGAGGAGATCTCCGCTACTAGTCTCGCGAGCCTCACGCTCTCCAACAATTGGATTGCCGGAAAAATACCACCGGCGATTGGGAACCTGACGAATCTCGAGATCCTATCCCTCGACATGAACAGATTCTCCGGCGAGATTCCGGCTGAGATTTTCGACCTCTCGAAGCTCTCGAAGCTGAACTTCAGCGACAACCGCTTCACCGGCGAAATTCCGGCGTCCGTCGCCTCCAGTACCCACCTGACATTCATCGATTTCAGCCGGAATAATTTAATCGGAGAAATTCCGAAAACTATTCCTCGGCTACAAATTCTTAGTGTACTGAACCTATCGAGAAACCAACTCAACGGAAAAATTCCCGGCGAAATTGGACTGATGAAAAGTTTAACCGTTTTAGATCTTTCTTACAACGAATTTTCCGGTAGACGCCCCTCGACCGGACTGTTAAAAGATCTAGATGACCGATTCTTCATCGGTAACCCTAATCTCTGTCCACCTCACACCACCTATTGTCCTTCGGCATTGACTCCACCGAACGGGTCCTACAAAAGAACTCATTCCTCGAAAATCGCGATCATAATAATCGTACTCGTTTTCGTTCTAATGATTCTACCCGGAATTTGGGTTTTATTCAGGAGGAGAAATCTGAAAAAATCGAGATCGTGGAAGCTAACAGCGTTTCAAAGACTCGACTTCCGATCCGAAGATGTTCTAGAATGTTTGAAAGAGGAGAACATAATAGGCAAAGGTGGGGCGGGGATTGTCTACAGAGGGTCCATGCCAAACGGGATCGACATCGCAATCAAACGCTTGACTTGCCGAGGCAACAGCCGCGGAGATCACGGATTCATGGCCGAGATTCAGACACTCGGCCAAATCAGGCACAGGAACATCGTACGCCTCCTGGGGTATTTATGTAATAACGACACGAATTTGTTGCTGTATGAGTACATGTCTCACGGGAGCTTGGGCGAGATGATACATGGATCCAAGGGCTCGCATTTGCAGTGGGAATCGAGGTACAGGATTGCGGTTGAGGCGGCAAAAGGGTTGTGCTACTTGCACCACGATTGCTCGCCTTCGATTATTCACAGGGATGTGAAATCGAATAATATTTTGCTCGATTGTGATAATGAAGCACACGTGGCGGATTTTGGCCTCGCAAAGTTTTTCCACGAGGCTGGTGTTTCTGAGTGTATGTCGTCAATTGCGGGCTCGTATGGCTACATCGCACCTGGTTAGTGTTTTCTTGATTTCGTATTTGCTTCTTCTTGAATACATATTGTCGCATTTGGTGTCAAATACTAACAAAGATTCTATTTTGGGGGATTATGGATCTAAAATCGAACCGAATGTATGAATTTTAAACCTAAACGAAAAAAACTATGATTGTATTAGATTTGTCTATAAGTCTAGTTGTGAGTTTGAGAAAATCTATGATCGAGGTAAACGCCAATTTTGTGTTTAAACTTGATTCGTTAAGTAGCTTTATTCGAATGATTCGTGATGGTTTTTTTTTTTTTTTTTTTTTTTTTTTTTTTTTTTTTTTTTTTTTATAAATAGAATACGCCTACACGCTGAAAGTAGACCAAAAGAGCGATGTATACAGCTTCGGTGTAGTTCTATTGGAACTGATTGCAGGGAAGAAACCGGTCGGGGAATTTGGTGATGGTGTGGATATTGTGAGGTGGGTTCGCGAAACGGTGACCGAACTTCCACACCCGACCGATGCAGCCTCTGTGCTGGCGGTGGTAGACCATAGGCTGACCGGATACCCACTAGCGGCGGTGGTGAACTTGTTCAAGATTGCGATGATGTGCGTGGAGGAAGAAAGCTCCGATCGGCCGACGATGAGGGAGGTTGTTCACATGCTCACCAATGCTCCTCCACCTCAATCCACCACCACCACCACTAAACTTATATGACAACTCTTTAATCAAAGAATTAAGGGATATTGATTATGTAATTTATGTGGTGTTGTGTTTGTAATTTTTTGGTGGAAATAAAATTGGCAAATGTAGATGTAAAATAAAATTTGCCTTTGTATTTGAGAGAAGGTTGGTGTAATGTTTATATGTGATTTGGTGGTGGTTTTATAATCCATAGTTCAATAAGCACTTAATTAATGCGTAATTATATATCACTTTGTTTGCATGTTTAGTGTAATGTTTTATGTGATTTCCTGGTAATGTATTAATCCATAGTTTAAAAGGTTGTATGTGTAATTTTATTTTGAAAATCACTTTACTATAGTTATTATTTTAGGTAGGGGTGAAAGTTGGAACGAAATTTTCAATTTCTGCCGATTTCGATCCGATAAGTTCCAATTTTGGAACTTCTTTTTGCATTTCGATTTTCAATTTTTTTTGGATTGGAATTGAAATTATATAAAAATGTTATTTGAAATTATCTATTTTTGATTTGATTTAATTTTGGAGAATAATTCCAAAAATTTCGATTTTTTCCCCGAAAATTTAACTTATAAGTTATAACATCTAAATTAGTATGCACTATATATTATAGGTTGCTAACAAATGAATTTTCCGATTTTAGTCGTTTTCCAATAAAAAAAAAAATTCGAATTTCGAAATAATTCAATTTGTTTTGGAAATGAAAATCTGATTATCCATTTTAGTGAATTGAAGTGTACAAAACCCGACCCGACCCGCAACCGCAACGACCCGTTTCTGGGCCTTTTGAATTCACCTCTCAAAATTCAAATCAGAAAACAAAAGGTTAACGGCTCTTCCATTCCCAAATCGTCAGAAAACATGGAACTGAAATCTCCTCCGCCGTGCCCCCCCACCGTCACCGTCCGCCGCAACCCTCCTCGAAGAGCACGCGCCACCCCTGCTTCCGCCATCCCCCTCCGCCAACCTCTTTCTTCTCCATCTCTCTCTCGAGACATTTTCTCCACCGAGCTCCCACTTCCGCAAAACCCTGTCAATACCGATAACAAGAGCACCGATCCTTCGACCAAAACCCTATCGGAGAATCTAAAAGTATACTTGAGGATCCGTCCCCTCACAGTAGAGAAAATATGCAAAAATAGAGTTGAGCTGAAGAACGCTTGGCCGAGAAACCCCAAAATCAAGGGCAATTCGAGGCCGAAGGCAAAGAAGTGCAGCGAAGTATGCGTGCAGGTAAACGAGGATTTGCATTCCGTCACAGTGTCAACTCCTCAGGTATTGCAAGAAACGAAGAGAGTCAAGTCGGAGGTGTACGAAGGGTTTTCCAGTGTATTTGCTTCGGAAGCGTCTCAGGTAGCTATTATATCACTGTATTTTCATGGTTATTGTGACATTCAGCATGATTTGGATTTGATATTTTATATTTATTGTTATTTAGAATGATGTGTATGAAGAAATGATGAAGCCTCTTGTAGAAGATTTTCTTAAAGGGAAAAGTGGGATGTTGGCTGCTATGGGGCCCAGTGGCTCTGGGAAGACACATACTGTTTTCGGGTGTGCAAAGGAACCCGGTATGGTACCTATAGCACTTGGTCGCATTTTCAGGGAAGATGAAAGCAGTGGGAAGAAATGCTCAAGGTATATGTATAATAGATTCATATTGAAGTCAGTAGCTAACTCTAAGTGCATGTTTATTAATTTGTGGAATATTATGTGGGCAGGGTATTCTATCTGTCAATGTTTGAAATATCTTCGGAGAAAGGAAAGTCCGAGAGAATGATCGATTTACTACATGACCGAGGTGGTGATGTGTGCATGCAACAGTCAGTTCTCAAGGGAGTTCAAGAGGTTTTATGATATACTTATTGACCGTTGCAATTTCATTTCTTATTTACCAGATGCAATTTGTTTTTCTTTGAAATGGATCACTGCAGCATTGACTATTATTTGATCATATTGGGTCATTGTAAACAGGCTCTGGTTTGTGATGCTCAGCAAGCGGAGTCCCTAATTGCATATGGAATGCTGAAACGTGCAACAGCTATGACAAATTCAAATAATCAGTCGAGGTTTTTGTTCTGCCTTTTTGTTTTCTTGCTATCATATTAGCCTGGTTATGTTTTATAAGTGACTTGAAGTTAGAGTACGATTTGATGGTATTTCATGCCCTACTTATTCTTAGCTACTTTTCTGATTAGCACTGTAGTTCAATCTTGGTCTCTCTCCCGCTAGTACTTTTTCCTTATTGGTTTTGATGGTGGTGGCATTTAATTTTCCACAAATTCTTGCAGTCGTTCACAATGCATCATTAATATCCGCTATGATTCAGAGAAAGGTGATGAAGTAGTTGATGGCAAAACAAGCAGCACAATGCTTACAATAGTAGACCTTGCAGGAGCAGAGAGAGAAAAGAAGACTGGTAATCAGGTATAACATATGAATTAAACGATGTAGAACCAGGTAAATAATGGCTGCGAGGTGTGGAACATATGTGGGTAGAAGAATTTTGATCTTAAATTGATAATTTCCATTCAAATGCTCATAATTAATAATTTTTCTGAATCATTC